CTGAAGACCTCAGTAAGGTTCCGGGCACAAGCTGGTGGCCTTCTGCAGGCCATCGAACCGCCGAGCAAAGAACCAACGCCAAAGCCACTTCTGGCTGACGGAAGTAGGGGGCTGCATCCGCATACGAGCTTCTGAACTTCTGCGACATGGCATTGAGTGCAACCTGAGCAGTTGATGCCAACTCACCCCAGGTCTGGAAAGCCGCCTCCAGAAGCCGGGGTACCCCAGCCGAGAAGAGGTGAATGTTGTTGAATTCCTTCTTCTTGTATTGCGGGCCTCCCCACTCTGCCATGGCCCGTCTGGCGGCTTGCAGTGACAACGGCGGTAGAGCCGGTACTTCCAGGACCTCAAGCGAGGTGTACTCCTCCGATGGCCTATCGGTCAAGATATTCACTGTGCCTGCCGAAAACATGCCCATCTTCTGCGGGAATTCGCCAAATATTTCGGTGAAAGCTGATTTCTGTCCACCATGGTGGCTCAGTCCCTCGACCTGTCTGTTCACAAGCAGCTCTGCCTGATCGAGGAACACCAAACAAGCGCAGTCTGGTGTTGCGTTGAAGGCTGCAGACGTCACCGAAAGCCACTGCTCGAAGACATCCTCCCTGTGTCGACAAGATGAGCGAAGCCAAACTTCAAAGCTGTTGCTCCCCTCATTTGGTGCCGATGCACGCTTGAGGGCCTCCAGCACTGCAATGAACTCCATTCGCTGAAAACTCACCAACTGCCCACTCACTTCGATGTTGTAGCCGTGCAACAACTGTGACAGGTGCCACACGACGATAGCAGAACCAATCCTACTGGGAGCTTCCTGCAATGCTTACCCTGCAATCTCTCCAGCATCAAGAACCAAAAGCCGTCCACATCTTCGGCTTGCTGCAAAGCTCGCGTCCTTCCGAGTGCCGGATGAGCGATGTCTTGCCCGTTCCCCGCGGGCTCCACAAGGTCACCACCGTCGGCTTGTTGGTCCCGTTCCTTTAGATCTTTTCTAGTTGCTTCACAACACTCTCAACAACCGCCTCCCTTTCCAGAAACGGCCTCTCATCCTTGGGGAGAGTGGCGTCAGATATGTTCAGGTTCTGTGGATGTGATCAGGGCAGCCCCACTGAAAGCATTTCCGCAGGGGAAATCAAAACCACACAAAACGCCAAACGGCACGTCTCAACGTCAGCCGGCAGCAGAAATACATTGTGCACACTTTAGCAATCTCCTCCATGCTCATGCTGTCGGAACAAAATATTGTGGGACCGCAGGTCCGAAAAGCAAAACCAAGTGAGGTGCTTCATTCGCTCTTTTCGCCTCTCACGCTGTCCTCTACGAAGATCAGCGCGTGCTTGCTCTCGCTTTGCATCCTCCGGGGTCTCCTTCAGGCTGATCGTCCCCCTCTTGCGGAACTCGGTGAAGAGTTCATCAGCCATAGCTTTCGTCAAGCCATCCGCCAGCTGGCGGAATGTAGGGACCCAGAAGATCTGGCAAAGCTGCTGCTGGATCAACCAGCATCGTCTGTCGCTCGGCCGTCATATGACCGGTCTTCGTGACGTGATCATACAACGCCTTGGCATCCGTCACCACCGCCCCCGGACAGGACAAGGACTCCTTCCAGTCCTTGCCTACAGGCCGGGGTCCTTTGGCCATCATCTCCATGAGCAACCGCAGATAGAGTGACCCTCTGCTGCCAGGCTTGACCTCACCACCCGGGCGATCTTGCCGCTGCGATAGCCCAGGATATTGGCCACTCCTTCACGGTGAAGCACCTCCTTTGCCCTGCTGAGCCCTCATCACCTCACTCTTGCCCAAGGAGGCGTCGAAGAAGGAAAGCATCATCGGCTCTCCACTGATCGGGCGGTACCGCAACTCCGCCTGAGTTGTGGTAGCCAGCTTCCTAATCTCCTGCAACAACTTGTTGGCCTCCAACTGGCTCACCTCGAAGAGCTTCTCGGGCAAACAGTGCTGACACGGCCACCTCATCTGCATCACCACACTGCGGTAGGCCTTGAGCTCCACCTTGCCTAGAAGCTCAGTAGGCTCCGCCTTGAACATCTTCATGGGCTTGATCTTCAAGATGTACTCCTTCATGGAGTCCACAATCGTGCCACTGTGGTAAGTGACCTGGCTGCCCAGGTACTGCACCGGGTCGGGGCCTAAGACCTTCCACTCCTTTATGTTGAACTTCTGGTTGACCTTGGCCAGGACCTCCTTAAACACCGGGCAGCCTTCTTGACCGGCCAGTATGGTGGTGCCCCGTGCGGCCTTCACAAAGGTCGCCCTGCAAATCTCCAGCTCCTCCATCCCGCACTCCACCATGTACTGTGCCGCCTGAAGATACCATAGGCGCGGTGCCTCGGCCAAACCATAGGCCGATTTGAGTACCCTCATCAGTGCGTAGGGCTGGATCTTGACCGTCTTGCTCTGAAGATGAGCTGCTTTGGCACCATACGTGCCTTGTCCGGCGGAACCAGCTCCACCACCTTGTTGTCGATCCATGACTGCCACTCGGCTCGATCTGACTCCCCAAAGCTTGCTTTCTCCTTCTCATCGAAGAACTTCGGGTCCAGCTCCTTCCCGTTGGCCTTCATGCGCAGAAGGAAGATCTCGCAGGCCCGCCGGGACCTTGCCTCCTCTCTGACGAAGTCCTCCCACATCCTTTGCTTGGCTTCCGGCCACTTGGCCTCGTAGATGTGGGCCCATGGCGACGTAGGCACCCTGCGGCTCCTTCTGCTTTCCCTTGCTTTCCAGGAAGAGAGTCAGTCCTCTCCATTCGAATGGCGATCTCCTCCTTGGGTGCTGCGCCACTTCCTGCGCTGTTTCATACACCAGCAGCGCCACGCCAGGCTCTCTCCCAAGAAGAACACTCACTCGGGACTTTGCTCCCTTCTTGTTTCCGGGCTTCTGCATCCTCTTCCTCGGACCTAGATGCAGCCTTGCCGATGACACCGGCAAGCCCAGAAGTTTGGTGAGGGATTTCACCTCCGCTCGGCTCAACCACTCATTGGCTCGCCTAGACGGCTGACCATCCGGGCATAGATCTTGCCCCGCCGCCGCAATCATCACAGCGGTGTAGAACTCGCCCTTAAACTTCTTGGTGACTTCCTCCGGGTTGAGCTCGCCCGCATCGGCCTCCCTCTTCCTCTTGATGCTGACAGGGACGTCATCCAACAGTTTTCTTCTCTTCTGCTGTGCCTCTTCCCAGTCTTCCGAGGAATCAAACAACTCCCGCCAGAACTCCGCGTCTGCCTCATCATCCTTCTCTGGCGCCGGTCTCGGCACCGGCTGAGGCTGAGAGCTCGGGCCGGCTTCACGACTCCGGGGAAACTCCTCCGCCCGTGATGGATCTGCCGGCCTCCTGCACCCCCTTTTTCGCACTGCCTTTCTGACACGAACTGGCGTCTTCATCAGCTTTCTAACTGTCCTCACGCCTCTCATCATTCTTCTGGCATCCTCCTCAGGTCTGCCTCGAGCAGCTCCGGAACCTGGCATGTGGACAGCTTCTCCCTTGCTGTGGGGGAGGCTCCAGACCAGTGTAGTCTTCATAACCTCCTTTCTCCTCTTCTTCTTCTCCGTCAGGACCCAGGCTGCTACCGATCGTCTCCAGCTCTTCCTTGACCATATCCACGGCAGCCGACTCCAACAAGCATCTTCCCCGCCAACTGACATAGTACCCCTGTGGTCCCTCTTGAGCAATCACCACCGCTGGACCTCTCCACCGTCCAGCATCTCCGCGATACCTAGGCTTACCGATCTGCGGGATCCAGAAGTATACCACCTGGCCGGGGATGTACACCCTGTCTTCCGGTTGCCTTCTCATCAATGCCTTCCGCAGCTTGTCCTGAACGTCTTCTCTGAGCAAAACTGCTCTTGCCTTGTTCCGCAGTCTCATCCTGCGGGCCATTTCACTGTCTTCATCCAACGCCTGAGCCATAGTCACCGGCTCAAACTCCTCATCAGCCAGAAACTCCGGATAGGTCACGTTCCGGCCGAAGACCATCATGTTGGCCGAATAGCCCCTACGGGACACCATCTCATTCTTGGCCTCCATCGCACACGCCAAAGTGACCGCCATGTCCACCTTGTCCTTGGCCTGCTGCTCCAAGATGAGTGCGTGCCATATCTCACCCATCAAGGCGCCGTGCCTTTCTGCAAAGGCGTGCTGCCATCCTGCGTGCGCGCCGTGGTCTTGGAGTGGATGCCGAACTGCTCCAGCATCAGTACCCACTCCCTTTCAAACTCGCCACCCTGGTCCATGACAATCCTCGTCGGCCTCCCAAAGTGAGCCACCCAGTGCTTAATGAACTTCCGGCTCACATAGGACGGTTTGCGAGTACGGACAAGGGTCGCCATGTGATAGTCCACCAGACAGGGCTACCCATGTAGCACCGACCGCGTCCTTCATGTACTTCAGCTCCACATGAACTTCTACCCCAAAACCACCGGGCCTCAGAGCAGGTGTTTGCTGCAGTGGCCTTCCGGGTGGCGCTCTGCTTTGACACACCGGGCAGACATACTCTTTGGCGAAGGCCAGGGTGTCACCAGAGGCTCCACCCAGCTTGAGCATCCGGACCATAGCATCTTTGCTCGGATGCCCCAGCCTCCTGAACCGCTTCCACCACCGCCTTGGGGTACTTCTCCTCGGGCTCCTCTTCTGGTGTCTCTTCCGCTGGATTCTCCAACTGAACTTCTTCATCTGGAGCAGTGAGAATCTCCTCCGGCAGCGTGCCCATGGCATAGGCGAGGTTTGAAGATCGCCCCTCATCCAGCCACTTCTCTGTAAGGGACAATATCCCAGCCATAAATAGCTGCGGATATGCGCCTTCTTAATTCCTGAAGCATGGTTCTGGGATTACGACCATTTTTATACCGGGTTTTGATTGTGGCTCAGGTGACGTATTCGCAAGTGGATGAGTAGAACCCAAACTTCTGCAGCCTCTTTGCGAACGCCTTAGTATATCCGCCCGCAAACTCCGCCACTGACCAACTTCTGCCCTCATGCTTCATGCCGCCCATCGTCAGAGCGTGCAGCCGTTCACAGCAAAGCCTCCCTGATCCCTTGAGGTGAGCGGGTTCTCACCAACCACAGCCTTGCCACACGCTCGCCGGTCCTTGGCCACGTCATGGACAAAGCTGAGAAAATCGTCCCGATCCATCATCTGCCGATCTGCCAGCGCCTCGGCGTGCTCCACCGTCTTGACGTTGAGGCCCTGCAGCTGCGACCAAACAGTGCATGGCCAGGCAATGACGGTGAGGTCTGGGTCGGCCGCCCGAACATAGTTGAGTGCGGCCTTGCGTTCCTGTGGCAATCGCAGATCCCAGTGTGGCAGTGCGATTGGCTCCAACCCAATCCAACCCGACTGGGCCGCCAGCATCGTGACCGTAAGGGTCCAGGTGAAGATCTCCAGGACCTTGTAGGGCCTCTTAGGCACCCTCGGCTTGTAGGTGACGGGCTCCGATCGCTTGAGGTTGCCCCTCACCTTGTCCAGGGTGTGAATCTGTTTGAGCTGGCGGATTCCGCTCTTGACTTTTCTCTTTTGGCCTTTGGCGAAGGCTTTGACCGGACCCTTGTAAGCCTCGCCTTCATCGTAACTGCGCTCCTCCACCTCTGTCGAAGAGTCCGAGTCCGGCCATTCCACACCGAGCTCATGCGAGGTTGTCGACTCGCCCCCATCGAAGGCACCCTTGTAGGAATCATCCTCGCTCTCCGAGACCTGGATGTAGTCCCGCGTTGGCACCTCCAGGCTTTCCATGTCCGAGAGGAGCTTCCTGAGCTCGTGCTCCTCCGATTCTGTCTCGCTGGTGTTGCCGGAGCTCTCATCTCCCGTGCCCAGATCTTCTTCTTCTCCGGCTGCTGTCACGAAGGCATAGGTCTGAAGAGCGTTCACCAGCTGTTGCCTTAGCTCTGCCAGTTCCCTGTCCTTTGTGCCCATCAGGATGTTCGGGAACTGCAGCAGGTCCAGACCCGGATGCCGTGTATCCGTCAACAGCATCCCCTAAGCGCCTGAACCGTCCGCTCCTTGAAGTTGAACCGGACATCCCATCTGGCAAGTTCAGAGGGGCTTACTAGCCCTGGGCAATCCGCTGCTGATCCGGACACCTCTGACATCCTCAGAAAGCTTGCACGCCCATGCACTCCGACGGGGTAAAGATACCCCCTGACCGACTTCTCCGGCGCTCCTGCTCCGAACTTGAAATACTCCTCCTCCGCGATGACCTCCCACTCCAAACCCAGCTTGATCAACTCCTGCTGGAATCTGGAATGCCAGTGTATCCCACCGACAGAAGTCCGGCAACCGCTGTCAGCAATGGCAAGCACGGTCTTCGGGAGGTAGTCCATGGTAAGCACCTGGTGCTTCGCTTCCGCATTCCCCGCCACCAGGACCGTAGGCCGGGATGACCAGTACACCACGCTCTTGAGGTCACAAACTCCACACCGGGCGTAGTGACCTGATCCATTGGCAGTCCACCGTAGCTTGTGGAAGGGATGGCCACACTTCTTCTGGGCTTGGCTTGGAGTCGGGCTCATCTCGGAGGGCTGAAACCGACCTCCTTGGGCCTGTTCGTTGTAGAGCTGCTCCCGAAAGGCCTCAAGTCTCTTCTTCTTGACGGCGGCCGGGAGCTCCCCTGATGGTGGAACCGGATCTTGAGAGCCCGCGGCACCTGTCAAACTCTCACTCCAGTTTTGATGGCGGGCAAGGATGTCTCCCGCCCTGTCATCCTCCTCCTCACCGCGCGGCGAGGGGTACAAGATACCGCTGGAGGCAGCGAAGGCAGCTGTGAGAGAGAGCCAGCGGACAAGCAGCAAGGGCACTGGGAAGATGGTCTACATGCCGGCCCAGGCTATCAGCGCAGCGGTGCCCTACATGAGCAGGGAGGAGAAGCGCGACCTCATGGCAAAGCTGGTGGAGGGATCCTGATCACTGTCACTCTCATAGTCAACCAGGCTCCAACCACGCTTCGGGTCTTCACCGACGTCTCGCATGTCCACCGCGGCCTGAGAGGTTCCACAGAAAGGACAGAACTTGTGGATCTCTTGAACCTGTTCCCCGCAGTGAAAGCAGTGCGTGGCGGCCCTCTTCTTCGCCGGTGGCTCCTTTGGCTTTGGGGTTCTTGCGGCCATGAAGGTGAAGTTCACTTCCTTTGCGACCAGGTTCTTGCCATCGGAGAGGACCGGGATGTCCTTAATCGACTGCACCAAGTGGACACCCTGCTCTGCCCTGTTCTTCGGCTGGAAGGGTTTGTCCTGGCCGCTCTTGACCTTGGCTCCAGTGACCTTTCTGCCCGCACGAGCTGCAGGTCGTCGCCAACTTCTTGGCTGTCATGTCCGTCTTGCGGCCAGGAGCTGCCCTTGGCCGCTGATCAGAGCCATTCTTTGCCTTCCATCCCGCTCCCTGAGCTGATCCGCAGTGACCTCATCTTCGGAGTTGTACTGACCGTCCAACTCCGGGTCCTCCGTCTCTTCCGGGATGTCCTCCAGGTCTTCAGGCTCTTCTTCCAGGCCTTGCAAATAGGTCTCATAGGCCTCTTCATCGCCCTCCAGGTCCTCCATGTCCTCATCTTCAGGGCCATCATCCGCCAGATGAACTCGATGATGCCCCTTGCCCGCTCCCTTTGAGCGAAACGAACTTGCCACTGAGGGCGCCGTAGATGCTCGGGTGGAGGCTGAGGTCGATCTCGAGGACGACGGCCTCGCAAAGGGGAACTTCCTGAAGTCTGATCCCAAGGCCGGAGTCCGGCGCTCGTCCTCGTGCACTCGGCTTGCCCGGTGCCTCAAGGCGCTCTCGATCATCTTGGAGTTATAGGCGCCCCCAGCCGAGTAGAAGACATCCAGCCGTTCTCTCCTGCTCAGCGAGGCGCGCACCAACAAGCGCTGCGCCCATGCTCGATCAGAAAGGATTGTCCCTTCGTCTTCCCTCAGGTACTGAGCCTTGAGCTTCTTGATCTGGCCAAGGTAGGACGCGATGCTCTGGCCAGGCTGTCTCCGGTACTGGTTGAACTCCGCTTCGATCCGCTCGAAGTACTCGTCCGAGCTCTCGCCGTAGGCCTCGTTGAGCAGCTGCCACAACTTCGCAAGGCCTCCGGCTGCCACCATCTCCTCAATGGTGATCTGGTCCAGCACCTCCCTGGCATCGCCCTTGCAGCTCAAGTAAATCATCATCGCCAGCTCTGCGCTCTCCAGGCGGTAGAGCTGCTGTTGAGCAAGCACCGCTCTGCGCCAGTTGCGGTACTTTCCACGATCACCACTGAAATCTTCCATGCGCACCGAACCCAATGAAGACCTTGGGCGATCTGTGCCTTTCCAGCTGCGGGCCAGCAGCTGTTGCAGCTCCTCCGACCTGACTGAGGAGTCCTCGGTCGGAGTCTGCAGCGACCCCACCTCATCGTCCTGTTGATGTCCAGGTTGGTCACGAGGTCGTCTTCCATTGCCTCCATGACGTCCCTGATCGTGCCCTTCTTGACCGTCATCGTCCGGGGTCATCATCAGGAGGACCACCTCCGGCAGCACGGGACGGCTTCTTGGTGTTCCGCCCTGACTTAGCCGGGGATGACTGGCCCCCGCCTTTGCCAGAGCCACGCCCTTTTCCAGCGCAGCCACTGCCGAAGGCATTGAACGATGGTGGTACCTCAGTGTGCGGGTCAGGATCAAATTGATCATCATTCGGATCTCGCTGGGGCTCCGTGTGATACTCGGGCTGAACAATATCCATTCGGAAAAACGTAGTGTTGCCCACCCATTCAGCCTCTTCTGGAGGATCCCTTGGACGATTCATCCAGTGGTCGCTCACCAGCGTCGTACCTCCGTCCCTCTCCGCTTCCCCCACAAAGTTCATCCTGGTTCGCCTCCAAGGTGACATCTTGCTCAAGGGAATTGGGCACTCAAAAAGGTCGGTCGGCCTGAAGCGCTCAAGCCGGGGCACGACATGCACCCTGACCACCCGCGTGTTGGTTACCACCCAGTAGTCCGCCTCCATCCCAACAGGTCTCGGTGGGGCTGTCCTTGCTTTCACCGCCGGCCTGGCAGTGGATGCCGGTGCCGAGGCGGCCGAAGTGGGCCTCGCTCCCCATGGATCTTCCCCTGGCCTCATCCAGGGGTCATCTCCCTCTGCCGGTTCCTCCACCGGCAGCCCATCCGGCTCTTCGTGAACATTCTCGCTCACCACCTCGTCCGGGATGACCACTCCATCCAGGTCATCATCATCTGCGTCGCCGGCCGGAACGTCCACCGGCCGTGCAGGTTCCTCCCCATCGCTTCCGCGGGCGCGTCGGGCCATTGGCCACCGCAGAGCAGCCTATGGACTTAAAGACGTCCAAACACCCCAAAAGCGGGAGCAAGGGGGGGGAACCCTCAAGCTCCGCTACCAATGTGGGACCGCAGGTCCGAAAAGCAAAACCAAGACGGGTTCCCAATTAAGGGGCAAAGCAGTGCAAGCAGAGGCAAGGCTCGCAGGCCTTTTGCTGTGTCGCGCATCGATGGCTACGGTTGCCAAGTCATTCATGCTATGTGCAAGCGAATGGCACTCTACCTCAGGCTTTCCCCTTCCTCAACACAAATATAACCTTCGGATTGCATTGTGTCTGCAGCAGCAACGACCATGGCAGAAGGGTAGGTCTTGCTCTTCAAAAGGCAGGCGACTGGAACAGCGGCCTCTTCAATATTTGTGGGGTCCCCCCTCGACTGTTTCATAGTTTTTAACGCCACTAGCCCCTCACACCAAACCAGGCAGACATGAGCGGGTACATCAAAAATTGAACACTAGGAGAGGATGGAATGGCAGCAAGACGGGCCAAACCATCGAGCAAGAACACTGCCCTTGGATGCAAATCCGGGAATGGTTGAGCTCACTGCATCAAAGGCAACATTCACAGAATGCACTTGTGCCTTCAGCAGCAAGGACCCCAATGGGTGCAAAGACATCAGAGTTTGCTTTCCCTCTCCCCGACGGCAGAAGGGCGGGTCTTGCTCTTCAAAAAACAGGCTGGGGGCAATTACAGAGAAGAAGAAGAAGAAGAAGAAGAGGAAGAAGAAGCAACAGGAGAAGAGGAAGAAGAAACAGAAGCAGGAGCAGGAGCAGTTACAAACGCAACACAATGCATGAACGATTCGCCTTTCATGGCAGGGTGGCATGAGCGAGAATCAAGGACCTATGCTGCAACAACTACCAACATTCAGGCAGACAGAGATTAAACCAGCACACAGGCTGCTACTACCAGTCAACCTCAACCCATCCCGACTCGCTTTTTTCACATCTTCAACAGCGTGCACCTGGCTCTCACCTTGGTCTGGACAGAGTGAAATTCCTCAAAGCCGCCAATAGCAAGCCTGTTTGGCTCGGCAAGCAATTAAATAATAGTTTCTCATAGTCAGCTCTATTTCTAGAGGTGACATGCGCATTCGCATTGCGCAACATCTCTAAGTATGTGCACCACCTCATGTCCAACCGACACGGTTTGTTTTGATTTGTTCTGTTCAACTGACGCTCTCGTACGCTGACGTTTACACCGCTATTCGACCAATTCAGCAGTTGTTGAAAATATGGCTCCCCTTCCTCTGGATGCCAGCCATGTTGCCTCCCATGCCTCCTGCAAATGCTCTCCACGCGCCAGCGTAGCTTTTTCTGGTCGCCGCTCAGTGGGCTTTTTGCCGAAGGGAACCATCGCCGCAGCGTGCCTTTCACGAGCTCACCAACCCGCGCAAGTTGCTGCAGTCTTTGCTCGTTCTGGCACCATTGCAGAACCGGAAAATTGCTTTGTTTCAGCAGTGTCCCGCTCGCGTCTACGCAGTATGCTACGCAAACAGTCCACGGGTTGCTTGCAAAGGAAAACTTGCCGTCTGCCTCATAAATATATGGCTTGAAGAAGCAGTCGTACACGGTCTCATCAAAAAAGTCTGCTGGGTCAGAGGTTGCCTGACCAATGGCCAAGTCTCGGATGTACTGCAAACGTTGTGGCTTGGACCAACTTGGGTCCCCCAGCAAAGGGGTCATCTCCGTCACAAACTCATCTCTCAACTTCATGTTTACTCGTTTTTGCGTGTCAATCTTGGACTGTTCGTCCTTCCACACTGCTGCTGTGTATGCCATCAATGGCACAGATCGGATCTCGCCAAGCAAGTCTGTCAGTTCATCTTTTTCGGTGTCATCGATTGCAGTGGCCAGGAATTTCTGTCGGGCATAGTCCAGCTCATGGACGGGGTTTTGCCACGGGAGGGAAACCCTGCGACACTCACCAGCAAATGTAAATCCATTGGGAGTCATCCTGACAAAGTTTTGCCACGCTAGGGCCATGTCTGAACCAGTGATGGCAAAGTGCAGGTTGGAGTCTTCCCTGTGGACTCGGAGGAATCCCTTGAGAATGTCCCATGTTGGGATAGTTCCTTCCTGAACCTGGAAGAATCTCTGAACTTCGTCAATGAGGAAAAAAACTGTACGCCCAGACCTGTCCAAGGTGTCCATCAACTGATTCAAGGTCCACTGGTCTGCAGGGCCCACATGGAACCCAGTGCTTGTTGCCCAACTCCAAACCTCTCTTAGCAATCCTACCTCCATTGCTCCAGGCTCGAAGCCCGCATTGAGAAAAGAGGCAAAGTCCAGGAAGCAAATCTCGGCATTTGGAAACTTTGTCAAGATGATCTGTGGCAGAAGGCGCGTCAACACGGTAGTTTTTCCCAACTTTACCATGCCATTGATGGCGCAAATGCCTCGCGAAGAGACACAGTCCTCCACCCACGCAGTCAACTGCGGCATCAGTTCGCTGGACACAATGGCAAATCTAGTCGAATCTTTGAAATCGCAGACCAGCAGCTTCTGGCCGTCAATGTGCTTTTCTCTCAGGTCGTACTTGGGGGCGAGGTATCGTTGCAAGCGGCTTGTGCCCTGCAGATAACGGGCAAGAAAACACAAGCGCGACTGGAACAGAAGCAGGCTCTTCAATAATTGCGGAGTTCCCCCTCAACTGTTTGATGGTTTCGCGCACCACTAACCACTCACTGCAAAGCAGGCAGATATGAACAGGTACGGAGAAAATTGAACAACAGAAGGGGATGGAATGGCAGCAAAACGGGCAAAACATCGAGCAAGAACACTGCGAGTGGATGCAAAGCCGGGAATGGTTGAGCTCACTGCATCAAAGAGAACATTCATAGAATGCACTTGTGCCTGCAGCAGCAAGGGCCCCAATGGGTGCAAAGACATCAGAGTTTGCCCTCCCTCTCCCCGGCAGACGGGCAGGTCTTGCTCTTTCAAAAGCAGGCTGGGGGCAAGCACAAAATCACTCACAACGATCAACGGCACGTCTCAATCAATGTCGACCAGCTTTAAACCCCGACCTCCAACAAGGAAAGGCAACCATCCGTTCATGGGGGGTCCCTACCGAGCCTGCCAACGACAAGAAGCGCCGCAATCTGCACAAATGTAACCTTGGGATTTCCTGGTTCTGTGGGTGTTGATCAGGGCAGCCCCATCAAAAGCATTTGCGGACTGCAGGGGGAATTTTAAAACCACACGCCGACCAATGTCTCAGAACAAAGTCAAGAGCAGACAATTTTCCAGCCGTGCCTCGGGCTGCTGCAACAGCCGGATCTTCTCGGCCAGCAGCTCCGCTGGTCCACCAGGGACGCTATATGGCGCTGCCATCAGCTTCTCCAGTGTTAGCTTCAGCAGGGACTTGCCGGTGACGCCCTGCTGCTGCAGTGTGGTCGCCGTCCGCTGGATGAACTCATCGTCTGCTTCCAGCCCGCCGTCAATCAGCACAGCCTCTGCCCAACTGGACACCTGGGCCTTCTTGAAGCCCTCCACCTCCTCGCGGCTCTTGGCGAGCCAGTCCTGCCAGCTCCCACCAACAACCGAGCCTGGCGCATGCGAGCCCCCCGGCCTCCGCACCACTGTCCTGGCACGATTGCAACCGGCCAAATTTAAAACTGCTGATTGGAGCGTCCTGCTGCGGGCTGGCGCGCAAAGCAACTCCGCCACGCCCAGGGTGCCAGCGTGTCACCTCAAGAGCTGAAAATCCAAGCAGAAAAACATCACAGCGACACCGGGATCTGGACCTGTGGCCCGCGAGAATCCTGGCGGCACCACGCAAAACGCAGCCAAGATGCCAGGAATCTAGTGTCCTTCCAGCCCGGGCGACTCGGTGAAATCCGCCCGTGAGGGATGGTGAAGAGATGTACCTGGGGCCACAACCAGCAAACCAAAGCACTGCAACAATGCTGCCGAGGTCTTGGCCGTGTGCAAGAAAAGCCACGAGATTGCAGTGCGGGAGCGAACACCTGACGACAACGAGTCCTAACAAGCACGAGTTGAAGCTGACCAGCCTCGGCTCCTCCTGCCCTTCGTCGTCTCCACGCCCATGGCTGCGCAGTGTTTCCCTCATGGCTAGTTTGCGATACGATGTGGATTTAAAAGCGCGACTTTGCGCTGTGTGCGTGGACCGTCGGCAGCGCTGCTTCTGAGCGCTTCTTTGGGCCAGGCTACAAGCAAAAATGTTTTCACACATTTCGCATGGCGGGCGCTGATCCGTCAAATCCGAAACCACCGCAAGCGCAATGTTTCCCAGCTCCTCCCCCTCACAGGCCTAGGGCCCCAAGCGTCTCATGGATGGGTTGCAAGCTTCAATGGCTTGGAGAGAGCAAAAGGCGCCACGATCCCCAGTTGCTTAGGTTCCCTCCACCAGAGTCGCCTGGGTGCCCCAAGTCCCCCAAGTCCCCTACCCTCCCGGATCCACCCCCCGATTCCCGATTCCCTTGAGCTCTCAGCCATGTGCTCGCCGGTTCTCAACCCTGCCACTTGGGGCGGGGGGCACACTTGGGGCAGGGGCACACTTGGGGCAGGGGGCACACTTGGGGCAGGGGGCACACTTGGGGCAGGGATATTTGGGGCAGGGACGCACTTGAGTGGGAGGATGCACTTGGGGCATGGACTTGGGGCAGGACGCACTTGGACACTTGGGGCAAGGGATGCGGGGGGTTTGGGTGGGGTTTGGGGGGGGGGTTGGGGGTGGGGGGGGGGGGAGGGTTTGGGGAGGGTTTGGAGTTCGAGGTTGGGGAGGGTTTGGGGGAAAAAATACAGAAAGGGGATTTGAAGGAACTGAAAATCATTTCTGTATTTTTTCTATCAACCAATGAAAAACACATTGAAAAACCAAGTATCAAATAATAGATAAGGTTAGTAAATCACAACCTTATTCATTCTAAGTAATTCCTAGAAAAGATACACACCTTATCCATTATTTTTTCACTACTTAACCTATTTCATTTTACTATTTGTTTACCCTTAGTCATTTTATATTTTAAGTCTTTTTCCAATTCTCAGAAACTCCAGTTGTTCTTCATTTTTTCTTTTTACCTTATTCATTGTTCACGAATTTTTCACTCAGACTTAAAAATATGACTAAAACACATTTCACCTAATAGCTCCACAAAACCAAACAGTCAAAGCACACAAGAAAACTAATAAAAATATAATATTTCAATCTTTACAAACGATAAATATATTACAATTATAACATATAATATTTTACATGTGATAATCATAGTATGATTATAATTTCAGTACAGGATAATAATTTAATTGATTTGTCTTACTTCTTTCATACATCATTTTAAAAATAATATTAATATCTCTCAATGTATTTTGAACATTAAAATTTTTACTTTCAATAAATAATTTGATATTTTCTTTAACATCTTCTCCTTTCTCTTGACTATAACACAACATCCTTAATATATCATCAATCATACCATATTTTTTCTTAGGGATTTTAAGAAACTGTTTAATATAATCGTAAGGTGGTATTTTATTTACAGTTAGAAATATTAAAATCTCATCTTCTACATTTCTATTATGTCTCCCTTTTATTCTCAACAGACATTTGATTAAAACTTGATTATCTCTCCATTCCTGACAAATTTTACATTCATCTTCTTCATCCATTGAATAATTAATAATATTATTCAATATTTTATTAGGTAAATTTAATTTATACAATTCCATATTTTCTTTTTTGAAGTGACAACAATCATAGCATTTTTTATTGATATAATTATTGATTTTATCACCGTTCATTTTCCTCTTATTATATTAAGGCACTATTTCTTTAAGTCATTTTTAAGGCATTAATAAAAATTAAGAAACTAACCATAAGTATAGTATAATTATAGCATATAATATTTTACATGTTATAATTATATTTCAATTAAGAATTAAGGATTTAAGATAACAGTCAGGCAATATGTCTTCAAATATGTAATCTACATATTTATCAATATCACCAATGTCTATATATTTGATATTGTCTTTTCCTATTATTGAATAAATATATTCCCAAAAGAATAAATACAGCAATAGACATACTTTATATTTAGTGTTGTAGTAATACCATACATGATATTTAGTTATTCTAAATTCATTCAAGACCTTGTTTATTTTATCTTTGCTTAATAAATGCCAATCAATCTCTTCAAACAAATCACGAAATTCTTTAGCAAATGATTTATATGGTTTAATGCTTAGTTCTCCTCCAAACCTTTTAATCAAATCTTTATTATTAAAAAACTCATCAATTTCTTTTTCAAATGACTCTCTATCAATTTTATGGTAAAACCATACAGGAAATCGTTTTTGATATCTCATAAAGAATTTCAATTTTAATTGAAACTTTGTATATCCCTTATCCTTATATTCTTCAACAAACAACTTTTCAAGGTCTCTTGTTATACAGCATTGATTACAATATACATCATATTCACTTATTTTATTACACAGATTAGCAGGTAATAAGTTATACAATGTAAAATTAATATCATTCTTTTTATTATTACAACATTCACACTTACTATAATTAAACAGTGTCATCTTTCCTCTTAATATATTAAGTCAATATTTCTTTAAGTCGTTTTCAAAGAATTTATTTTATAATGGCCATAAGCAAGTGAGTTTACACTATCTGTCCAATATTTTTTGTTTTCATAACTACTAAGAGCAATTTTTTTAGTTGCTATACTAAAAATTCTGTGGTTTTTACTTCTAATACTATTAAATGACTTATGTATAACCTTATTAGTTTTTAAAACCGTCTCAAACTCTTCATATTTCATTTGACGTCTTACTGTGCCTTTTGAGTTGTATTCAGGTCTTCATAAATGTCATTGGTTTTAGTATGAAATACAAAACTATCAGTATCAGTATATACCATTTTAATATTATCTCCATATTTAGGCTTCATAACGTCATAATAAAATTTATACATGTGTCGCTTACTCAAATCTAAAATACTCATCCCAATAAATATAGGTTTGTCTAGTTTCAACTTTGTTTTTTTGCTTTTCAACTCCAACCAAATTTTCATTAATGATATGACTATGTTTGAAGTTAGGATTACTTACACACTTCATATATCTAGTTTCATCACTCACAACCTCAAAATCTAAATGTTTCCTTTTATCCTCCATTGTTTTTCCAAATATGGCATTGTTCATCAATTTGTAAACATCTTTCTCAAAATCATTTCTAGCATTCTTCCTCTTCTCTGTGTTAAACTCAATGTAAGGTTTTAAAACTTCTTTTTGTTCAAATTTAATTGCTCTATGAATTTTCTTAAGTTTTAACCCTTGCTTCAAATAAAATTGTAAGGTTCTTATATGGATTACATATTTTTCTTTATCATTTAAATTCAATACTAATTTATTTGTTTTCTCATCCGTAGGTTTTTTATGATTTAAAAATTCATAACTTTCAATTTGTTTATCTGACAGCATGTTGGCTTTAACATTCATAACCTCAGGTGCCATTGGATAGTCATTGTGTAAATCGTGTAATTCTTTAGGATATTCTAAATCCACTTCTAGAATATATCCAATATTATTATTCTTGTAATTAATAATGTCTTCTTCTTTTAATGTATCATCCCATTTTAGATTTTTATATGGCAGTTTTTGTATCATGCTTAACCCGTACAAATTATTAGCATCAAAATAGTTAATATAACTACTTTCTTTATTTTTATCATATTCTTCTCCCATGTATTTATTATTTGCTTCAACTTTTTTAGTAGAAACCATACACATCCCGCCTCTAAGTCCCGCTTCTATCATTTCATACATTTCTCGGTCATATATTAAATCAATCTCTACACCAGTCATTTTAAGCATAGCATCAAAAGCAAAGTTAGGCAATGTATAATAATAAGCAGGGTCCAATCCATAATATTTCATACATACATCTCTAAAATTTTCGAAAATGTCAGTCAATAATAATACATCAGTTTTCAAATATAAATCATGGTATTCACCCATATTCTTAATGTCGAAATGCTTCCATATAATTTTTGCCCTTTCATAGTCGTTAACACTTATACCTTCTTCACTCAACTGACTATAAAAATCATCCTTACTCGGTAATTGCTCATCATCAAATTTATCAAATGAATTCATGTAGTCATAAGGATAAACGCCTTTATCAGTTAGTAAATCTAGACATTTCTCACTCTTAATCAAATCATTTTTACTACTGAACCTAAAATTATCTTTCCAGTTTTCACGCAATAACCATTTACTTTTATCTTCTTCATCTGTATTATCATACTTACTCATTGAAACTAACTTATCTAATGAAGCAGTTAAAAACCCAAAAGTGTCTTTAACACTCAAACTTTCAAAACTGATATTAATAAATTTTTCACTGTTCTGAGCGATGACACCTATTTTATTGTTGTTACTTAATTTATCAGCATTTTGAATAATTAAATGGCCATCATAATTTTTCATGTTATGGAAGAATACAGGAATTTTAAAATATCTATTACAAAAATTAAGATTGCAAACATTATGAGCACAACCTCTATACTTACCAGTAAAATGACAATGGTCTCTAACTTTTCTATATTTCTCTGCTTCCTTGGCATTCTTATAGTTCATTCTAAACTTATCCCCACAAATAAAGCAGTTTTTAGCATTTTTAAAATCTTCTTTGTCTTCATCGGTCATGTCTATTTTTTCGTTTTCTCCCATCTTCTCCTTTACTTCTGCCCTAATCTCATTAAGTTTTTGACAAAACACATCAACAGCATCTTTACCACGATACATAAATTCATAATTTGTATTATCAACAGCATTAACCATATTAAGCATAAAACCACATGGTTTATGCTCTTGATAAGAAAAAGTGTTTTTATCTTCATCTTCATCAGGTTTTTTCAGTTCCTCTGTCAAACATTCAAAATCAGCATATACAACAAAAGGACACCTTAACTTTTTGAAGTGATGCTTAAAACTAACTTTCTCATAAGGCTTAGGCATTACTATTTGTTGTCCTTCAACTTCCATGCATCCACTATCATAATGTTTATTTAATAATTCTTCATTTCTAAATCCATGAT